CTGGGACCGGTGCAGGAAGCGGTGTGAGCTCAGTACTGTCACGGAAGAAGCAACGGGAAGCACCTGAGTCAAGGGTGAAGGTGTGACAGGCCTCAGCCGGTGCGGTACCTGAGAGAGGAGTCTCTGTGGGTGCTGTACCTGAGAGAGCAGACTCGAAACCAGCCGGGACAGCACTGGGGGGAGCAAGTACAGGGGGCACCATACCAGAGAGAGCAGACTCACTAGTACCCAGGGCAGCGGGCTCTATACCTAGGTCAGGCGGCACACACAAGTAACAGTCTCCCTCGGCACTAACAGTCAATGCATACATGGCAGCAATAATAGCATCATAGTCAAGAGCAAAGACATCAACACCAGCCCTCATGAGCTCAGCCCAGCGGGGGCGCTCAACATCCGCACCCATCTCCTCACGCCAAGCGTCGTCAAGGCGGGAGAAGCAGCGGTACGGGGTGTGGAACCTCCCACACGTCTGTCCCTTGCGGTCACCTGTGCGAATGACATAAGAACAGCGGGCACTGGCCCCCGACGTCCCACGCTGAGCAAGCCACTCACGAAGCTGCTGGGTCGTCTGGGGACGCTGCTGCTGCTGGGAGCTCTGGCCCGAGCCAGTGCCTCCACTCCGACCTCCGCCGCCACCACTACCACCGCTCCGACCGCCACCGCCACCACCGCCACCACCGCCACCGCCGCCACCGCCGCCGCCGCCACTACTGCCACTGCTTCCTCCGCCGCCCCCGCCTCCACCACCGACCCCACTCCCACCAGCGCTCCCGCCACCGCTCCCTCCAGCACCGCCTCCCCCCCCACCTCCCCCACCTCCTCCCCCCCCAGCGCCACCACCACCACTTTTGCCCCCCTTGCCCTTGCCGGTGCGGCGCCTCCCACCAGGAGTAGAAGCAGCGCCAACAGACTCAGCACCAAGGAAGTCAACAGCAGCAGCAGCAGCGTAGGAGGGAGCGAGGGGAGAGGGAGAACACCCCTCAAAGATGGGGGTGCGAGGAGCGCCACGAGCAGCACCGACAGCTACAATGCTCTTTTCGGCCGCGAGCAGGTGCTCCTCTAGGAGGGCGACTGTGAGCTCAGTGGGACAGCGAGCAAGGAAGTGGTCTCGAACTGAGCGGAGGGTGTCAGGGAGACGGGTGACTATGAAGTGGAGTGTCCAGTACAGTGGAGGGGGGTTCTTAGCGCAGAACTCGGTGGGAAGGGCGGCACGCAGGCGAGCATCACTAGTGCGAAGGTGGGTGATAAGATCGGCGACTGTAGTAAAGGTGGACAGATCGGGGAACAGGTACGGCAGCATGAGGCGGCTAAGCTCGGCTGTGGCAGGCGAGGAGTAGCGAGCGACGACAGCGTCGTACAGGGCCTTAGCGGATTTGCAGTCGCCAAAATGCTCGAGCTCAGCTAGCGGGAGGTGACTGCGAATGGCTAGGCGAGCAGCTGCGTCACGAGTCTGCCAGTGGGAACGGACACTAAGCTCGGCTGTGGCAGCAGGAGCAGCGGCAGCACCAGACGCGTAGTCATAGAGGGAGATGTGGTCCGTGCTATTGCTCATAAGATACAACTGCAGGTCGTCGAGCCAGGAAGTGAACTGCACGGGACGGCCCTCAGCATCGAAGGAAAGAACGCGAATAGAGGCCATAGCTCAGGCGTGAGGGCACAGCAGAGCAGCGGCAGCAGCAGAGGGGACAGGAGAAAGCGGCAGTGCACAGGTAGCGGGCGGCGCTGCGAAGCAGGTAGCGGGCGAGCGGGCGGCGCTGCGAGCGGGCAGCGAAACGGGCGGGCCGCGAAGCGGGCAGCTAGCGGGCGGGCGGGCTGCGAAGTGGGCGGGCTGCGAAGCGGGCAGCGGGGCGAGCGGGCTGCGAGGCGGGCGGGCCGCGAAGCGGGCAGCGGGCGGGCGGGCGGGCTGCGAAGCGGGCAGCGGGGCGAGCGGGCTGCGAAGCGGGCGGGCCGCGAAGTGGGCAGCTAGCGGGCGGGCGGGCTGCGAAGTGGGCGGGCCGCGAAGCGGGCAGCGGGGCGAGCGGGCTGCGAGGCGGGCGGGCCGCGAAGCGGGCAGCGAGCGGGCGGGCGGGCTGCGAAGTGGGCGGGCCGCGAAGCGGGCAGCGAGCGAGCGGGCTGCGAAGCGGGCGGGCCGCGAAGCGGGCAGCGAGCGAGCGGGCTGCGAAGCGGGCGGGCCGCGAAGCGGGCAGCGAGCGGGCGGGCGGGCTGCGTAGCGAGCGGGCCGCGAAGCGGGCAGCGAGCGGGCGGGCGGGCTGCGAGCGGGCGGCTCGGCGAGGGGCGCGCGAGGGCGCTAGTGAGGGGCGCGCGAGGGCGCTAGCAAGGGGCGCGCGAGGGCGCTAACGAAGGGGCGCGCGAGGGCGCTAACGAAGGGGCGCGCGAGGGCGCTAACGAGGGTGCGCGCGAGGGCGCTAACGAGGGGCGCGCGAGGGCGCTAACGAGGGCGCACGAGGGCGCTACGAGGCTAGGGCACGGGGTAGCGTGGTAACCGCATGCGAGCGGTGGTGGGCCCTAAAAAACGGTCGGTAGGTCCTAGGGACCTCCTGCTCTGAATACCATGTCAGAATCACTAGGCAAGAATGAATGAACTAACAGAAGTTTGGGTACAAATGTGAAACCCTAGTTGGGGTTGTACCCCATATTGGCTACCCCACTACAGCCTACAAACATAATACAGTTTAACAGTTCACCATATATTTTTTTTCTTAGTATAGAGGATGAAAAAAAAAAATTGAACATAACGACTGTAATAGGTTGCTTTGCAACCCAAAAAAACAGTCCTGAAGGACCTAACCGCTCTTAATACCATGTAAGAACACCAAGGAATAATGCATTAGGGTTTGGAGAGTGCGTTAGAAGCAAGGTGGTGAGAAAGAGTTTGTACCCCCTAAAGGCTAACCCCACTATAGCCTAGATGAATAGAAACACATATTTCGACATTTTATGGCGTGTTAACCATGGTTGTCGAGTCAAGCATGTTCTTTCTGTGACAATGCATACTCTTGGCTTGCTTTGTATGTACGGTATGTACCGTACCCAATGAAGCACATTCAGAGCAATAGTTTCAGCTTTACATCTGTGTTCCGAAGTTGCAGGTAAAATTCCACAGAGGATCAGTGAATTCTGCGGATGGGCATCGTCTTAGGCTCCCAAAAAAATGACGTTACATTGTCAGAATCCCAGTCACTAACCACTGGGATAAAAGGGCTTGTTTACATAGCGGGTGAGTGCGCCCATAACCCCCCAGGCCAACATGCCTGTAACCCTTCCCTAGGATCATCGGGGATCCCCAGTGGACCTCTGACACCCCCGAGCACTGGGATGCCCGAAGTGCACACACCGGGAATCGAACCCGAGACCTTCGCTCTGATACCATGTCAGAATCCCAGTCACTAACCACTGGGATAAAAGGGCTTGTTTACATAGCGGGTGAGTGCGCCCATAACCCCCCAGGCCAACATGCCTGTAACCCTTCCCTAGGATCATCGGGGATCCCCAGTGGACCTCTGACATACATCCACATGACGAATTGGCAAGGAAGCAGTGGCACGACGACTCCTCTCCCCGAAAGAAGTTGTCCACATTCACGTGTTCAATCGCTGGCTGGGCGGTTCTTTTTGCTCTGGGGCGGGACTTGCAGCACGCATCTCGATCCTTGATGATGGAACTCCTTCTCTTGCTGTGATCGGGGACCTCTCCTATGTACGACAAGAGCCTACACACCCGTGGAAGTGGGCTAATCTACTTCCCAACCCTGGCCGGGCCCTCATTCCGGACTATCCTCACGCGTTTCTCTCGGGACAACCATCATCACAACGAGACATCCTTTTTCGACCATATACTCTGGCTCTAGATCCAGCTTCGCACGAGACAAAGGAGTATGTGCTGGCTATGACCGTAGCGTGCTTGAGTCGCTCCCGCATCTGCTTTTCGAATGTGGGTTGGCGAAGCCAATAACCGAAGCGCTACAACTTACCGCCCGTACTCACCTGGTGATCACTACCTTTCCAGGGTTGTCACTGTTCCCGCTCTCATCAGCGGCCGGGCAAGGTGCTCTGTGGTGCCTGCTGGTTGGTGCAGCAGCAAAAACTACTGTATATAGAATGGGAGATGCAGTTTCCGTTACAAGCAGGTTTCTACTAAAACGGTGGATGCGCTCCATCAAGTGCTACACTACTTTCTTCTCGCCTTCAAGATTTTCCTTCGGCGTTTTGTAAGAGCTCCAAGAAAAAGCAACAACGGGCTGCACGGAAGGCAAAACTAGCTCAACTCCATCATTTCTTCGTCTTCCTCGAACCCAACTGCTTGGTGATCCACCCGGAGCTTCGAGCCACGTGGCTGTCAGAGGTCCACTGATCCCCGATTGATCCTAGGGAAGGGTTACAGGCATGGCGGCCTGGGGGGTTATGGGCGCACTCACCCGCTACACAAACAAGCCCTTTTATCCCAGTGGTTAGTGGTTGGGATTCTGACATGGTATCAGAGCGAAGGTCTCGGGTTCGAATCCCGGTGTGTGCACCTCGGGCATCCCAGTGCGGGGGGGTGTCAGAGGTCCACTAGTGATCCCCGATTGATCTTAGGGAAGGGTTACAGGCATGGCGGCCTGGGGGGTTATGGGCGCACTCACCCGCTATGTAAACAAGCCCTTTTATCCCAGTGGTTAGTGGCTAGGATTCTGACAGTGGCTTCTCAACGACGCTTTCCGCCCCCCCTGAAACCCCCGCCTCCACCTTTTGTCACGTGTCAATTAGATACCCATTCTGGATGGTTTCCGCTTTCGTGGCGGGAGGATGACATGTTCACACGTGCTCCCCACGGAGAGCTGGGCTTATGTTTGTTTCCTGATCTAGTTGCATTTTTGTAACAGGTTATGACCTAGGAAAAACCTTTAAACCTTTAAACCCGACAAATTGACTATAATATTGCAGATTCCACAACAAGCGTTCACAACAACAACACCATGTTATTGTTAGGATGAGGTGACCTCATCATATCACAACGGCAAATCAGGAAAACATGACGACCTTCTCATCGGCGCCGTAGCGCTGCCAGTTGCCTCCGAACGCCCAGTTCTCGTACCCGCCATTGCCACGATTCTCCACAGAGAACGGGCCCTGCTTGTAATACACGGTGAACTCGGAGTTATCCCAGAAGTGCCACACCTCCACCGCCGCGGACGTCGGGTCGCCCTGCACGGAGTGCTCGCTCTGAATGACCATCACGTTGTACCCCGCATTCATGAATAGCTCCACGATCTTCGTCGTCACCTCGTCGTCCTCTGGACCGTCGATCGTGCCCAGGCTGTCGGCAATGATCTGATCGACGATCACGCCGTCCGAGCTGAACAGCTTTCGGCGCTCCACCCTGTGCGGGGACACGGCGGAGTCCGCGTGGGCGAGCGCACGGTGGGCGACGCCGCGCGTGGCGGAGGGGAATTCGTTAAGGATAGGTTGCACGGCGCTGGCGCCGGTGGCGGCGAGGAGCTGCAGGAAGGCGAGCGGAAAGGGAAGCAGATTGCGAGCTGCACGGAGCCACGCGCTGGGTCTAGTAGCGGCCATAGGGAACCGGATGAATACTTAGATTTCTTTCAAATCAGAGTGATAGTTTTGAAAGGCAATCTCAACAATGAAAAGCTGAGCTTGCACGTGGATTAGATCGGTTGAAGAGCGAAGCAAAGTCGCGAATTGATTATGTGAGCAGCGCAGTGGTCGGTATGTGAGATCGATGGGAGAATGGGGAAGCGAACACGGTAGCTGTGATGGATATGGTGAGGCTGAGCATCTATTTTATAGGCCGAGACACTGAAGATCAACCTTCTAGTCGCACTCAGACGCGAGCGCGGCTTGCGACTCGCTTGAGCCGTCATGGCCATCCACGCAAGCAGACTCCGCCGCGACGTACGCGAAAGGACTCTGACGTGTGAGCTATGCTCGAACGTGACTGATAAGCGACGATTTATTCGGTTTTCTTCGATGCAGCAGATTTAGAAAGCTTGCTTTCTTATGTTTGCAATGGCAACGTGCTTCGTTTCAAATGGGTGCAATGGCAACGTGCTTCGTTTCAAATGGGTTTTACAACATTCTCGTCCGATGTATATAAACACTACATATTTAGAAAGCTTGCTTTCTTGTGTTTGCAATGGCAACGTGCTTCGTTTCAAATGGGTCTTCTGAGACATGAGATGGGGAAGCGCTGACAAGCCGGTGGAGGTTGTTGATGGTTTGTGAGATAACATGTGGGTGGAGTGGAGTTTCATTCGCGCACGTAGCATATGCTTGTACCGTCGTTGCTGCTGCTGCTGCTATTTGTCAGTAATAACGGACTGGAATGACTGTACTAACAGAAGGATGGATACAAATAGGAAACCCTAATCCAGTGTACCCCCTAAGGTATCACCCACTACAGCCTAGAATCATATAAACATATAATGTTTGACACACCCCCATAGGCAAAGTGGGGGAGACCTAGGGGTCACAAGACCAGTCAAGGCAAAGCAAGGCAACAACAAGCTCAGGGTGGATCTCGAGGATTCCACACAAATTCCGAGCACAAGCTAGTGGTCACAAGACCAGTTCACATGCAGGTTTATAACAGAGCAAGAGATACAGTGATCACAACCTAGCAAGAGTAAACATGCAGGTATAGATATATATAGTGATCACAGTACAAGCAAAGTCAAGAGGTAAGTAAGTGAGGTCCAGTAGGCACAAGGCCTAGTAGAGTGCAGAAGCGCTGATGGTCACGAGGCTGAAGCGCCTTGGTGAACACATCAGCAGTGTTGGCCTCAGTGGCCACGTAGCGAATACAAAGCTGACCGCGCTGCTGCAGCTCACGAGCAAGGAAGTACCGCAGGGCGATGTGCTTCGTTCTGTGCTCCAGTCTGTGCTCCTCACACAAGGCAATGGCAGCCTTGTTGTCGACGTACAGGACTGGAGGAGAACGAGGCGGCTCTCCGAGGTCGGTCAGCAGGTAGGTCAGCCAGCGTAGCTCCTGGGCAGCCATGGCTGTAGCGTAGATCTCAGCCTCGCAACTGGAGCCGAGAACAGAAGAAGAGCGTGTAGAGCGCCAAGAAACTGAGCCAGAGCCAAGGCTGAAGGTGTAACCCTGAGACGACCGCTGAGTGGCCTGGTCGTCTGCCCAAGAAGCGTCTGAGTGCCCTGTGAGAACAACTCGGTCTCGCCCTCCAAGCACAAGCCCCATGCCCGACGTACTGCACAAGTAGCGCAACACCCTCTTAGCGGCATCCATGTGCTCCTTCCTGTGACGGCCAGGAGCGACATAGCGTGCAAGGATGCTAAGAGGGTATGCAAGGTCAGGTCGAGTGCAGGTCATCAGGTACATGAGGCAGCCCACAAGCTCTGGATACGGGCCACTCGGCTCTACGGACTCATCCGAAGGCAGAGCTGAGAGCGAGTGACCGGTAGGCAGAGGAGTGGACTGAGGCGAGGAGTACGTGAAGCCGAAGCGCTGGAGAACCTGCTGCACCATGTGTGACTGAGTCAGGGTGATGGTGCGCCGTGCTCTGTCCCGGGTGATCTGCAAGCCAAGATAGCTTGTCAGCTCACCCAGGTCTGTGCACGTGTGTCTCCTCTGCAGCTCTGACTTCACGTAGGCGAGTCCTGCAGTGTCAGCAGTGGCAAAGACCAAGTCGTCGACGTACACGAGGATGTAGAACGGCGGCAGCGAAGTGTCGGTGCGCAGGAACAGCGACGGGTCAGCTGTAGAAGGCGCGAACCCAAGAGCCGCAAGTGTAGTCCTCAGTGTGTCGTGCCACTCACGCGGAGCCTGGCGGAGACCGTAGACCGGCCGCTGAAGCCTCCACTGAGTACCAGGAGGAAACGACCCAGTGAAGCCAGGTGGGCGGCGCAGCCAGATCTCCTCGTGCAGGCTGCCCTGCAAGAAAGCAGTGCTGAAGTCAAGTGAGTGAAGCTCGTAGTCGCGGTGAGCGGCTATGTGCAGCAGCACCCGAAGAGTAGTCATCTTCGGGGTGGGAGAGAAGGTCTGGAAGAAATCAACTCCCTCTCGCTGACTGAAGCCTCGAGCCACGTAACGCGCCTTGAAGACAGGCGGAGAACCTGGCGGCCGCTTCACCCTGAAAATCCACATGCCACTGACGATGTTCGCCCCAGGAGGGGGAACCTCGTCGACGTAGGTGCGTGTGGACTTCCAGGAGGCCATCTCGGCGTCCATGGCTGTCTGCCACTGAGAGGAGTAGGGAACCGCCATCGCCTCAGCGTAAGTGCGCGGGGTCGGGATGTCTGGTGCATCCGGGTCTCCCTCAGGGGGAAACAAGCAAGGACACGAGACGGGGCAAAGCAGCAGCAAGACACTGGAACTCCTCCTGTCTGTCCTCAAGGACGTCCGTGCCAAGAGCACACTCACCCCCGACGGACGGAGGACAGACAGACTCAGACTCAGACTCAGCAACAAGGCTAGCAGCGTAGTCGAGACGACAGGCAGCAGCAAAGTCAACCAACTCAGCGACCAGAGCAGACGCAGTCGAGGACTCAAAGGTAGGGTCAGTGACAACAGTAGCGAGGAGACGCGTGACAGTAGGGTGCTCAGCACGGTACCGGTCAGACTCAGGGTCCGGAACGTGAGGCAAAGAAGACGCAGGAGGAGACGGCAGAGGGACACGCTGAGGAGCAGTAGAGGGACGCAGAGTCATGTAGTGAGTGCCTGGGACAGGAGGAGGACGCTCACGACGGACACGACTACCAGTGCGAGCAGGACGAACAGGCGACGCAGGACGAGACTCAGGCTCACGACGCTCTGTAAGACCTCCTGTGGGACCAGTGTACGGAGAGGGAGCAGGGAGAGGCGAGGTAGGCGGGAACTGTGACTGCGGCTGGACAGGCAGAGGACACTCTACAGAGGGAGGAGGACAAGGAGGAGGAGTCTGCCCAAGAACCTGCTGAAGGAGCGGTACGAAGTACGGTCGCGGTCGCGCAGCGTCTCCAGAAGCAGAGGAGACTCCAGCGGCCGGGTCCACAGCACCAGCAGCAGCTCCACCGGCCGGGTCCTCAGTACCAGTAGTAGCTCCAACGCCCGGGTCCTCAGTAGCAGCAGCAGCGCCACCGCTCGGGTCCTCAGCTCCAGCAGCAGCTCCACCGTCCGAGTCCTCAGTACCAGCAGCAGCTCCACCGGCCGGGTCCTCAGCACCAGTAGTAGCTCCAACGCACGGGTCCTCAGTAGCAGCAGCAGCGCCACCGCTCGGGTCCTCAGCTCCAGCAGCAGCTCCACCGGCCGGGTCCTCAGCACCAGCAGCAGCTCCACCGTCCGGGTCCTCAGCACCAGCAGCAGCTCCAACGTCCGGGTCCTCAGCACCAGCAGCAGCGCCACCCCCAGGGTCCGCAGCACCAGGAGCACCACTCCGAAGACTGCAGCGCCGTGTGTACCACTCGCGGATCTGCTGAATGGGGGGGAGCTCCTGGGTAGGAGGGGAAGTACCGGGACGAGCTCCAGCAGCACCTCTCCGGAGGCGGCAGTACTCGAGGTACCTCTCCTGCAGCTGCTGGGAGGAGAGGGCTCCTCCAGGTGTAGCACGCACAGGCTCAGCACCCCCAGACTCAGCACCCCCAGACTCAGCACCCCGAGGCTCAGCACCTCCAGGCTCCGCACCTCCTGGCTCAGCACCCCCAGGCTCCGCACCCCCAGACTCAGCACTCCCAGGCTCAGCACCCCCAGACGCAGCACCCCCGGGCTCAGCACCCCCAGACGCAGCACCCCCAGGCTCAGCACCCCTAGCAGGACGAGAGTCAACAGCTACCTCGACAGGCTCACCCGGGTCTACCTGGGACACACCTGAGGGAGCGGCACCCTGAGGGGGGAGGGGGTCTGGTACCTCAGCACCTGGAGCGAGGAAGAGAGGCGGGGGGGGGAGCGGGGCAGTGCGGTAGGGGAAGAGGCGGTAGTAGGGGACGGACTCGTCAAAAGTGACGTCCTGAGAGGCCAGGACACGACGCGAGGTGGGGTGGTAGAACTGCCAGCCAGGGGCGTCCGGGACAAAGCCAAGGAAGACGCAGGGGACAGCGCGACGGGAGAGCTTGTCCGCGGACGTGTCGCGGACAAAAGCTCGGGATCCCCAGACCCGAAAACGCGACGCATCGCCAGCCTCTCCCGTCCAACGCAATGTCGGAGAAGTCTCGGGCAAGGAGACACGGGGCCAGAGGTTGAGCTGATGCGCAGCGTATCGGACTGCAAACGGCCACAGAAAATGGGGGGCAGCCGCATGGCTCAAGGAGGTACGAGCGACCTCCATGACCAGACCAATGCGACGCTCAGCAACCCCATTCTGCTGTGGAGAGGCCGGAAGCGTGTACGACTGCTCAATGCCCTCCTGCTGACAGAAGGCCTCCAATAGGCTAGAGGAAAACTCCCCACCTCTGTCAGAGTGCAGACGCAGGACAGGGAAGTCAGAGCGGAAACGCTCACGGAGCTGGAGACGAGATCTGCGGATCCAAGGGATCAAGACATCAGGGACGTCACCCTTGGCGCGCAAGGGGAAGACCGTGGTGTAGCGCGAGAAGTCGTCAACAACAATCAGGAAGTACCTCTCCTGACCCTGACCACGGACGCGGGCTGGGCCCCACACGTCCATGTGGAGCGTCTGCAAGGGAGCAGTCGTCGGGGGAAAGGAGGAGGAGTGAGGAGCGGCGCGCTGCCGTCCCTCGACACAGGGAATACAGGGAGGAGCAGGCGAGTCGGGAAGGGGAGGGAGCACCCTGGGAAGACCAGCAACAAGGTCCCGTTTGTGCATAGCCCGAAGGCGCTGCACAGACGGGTGACCAAGGCGGTGGTGCCAAAGGACAGTCTCATGCGCCAGAGAGCGACACGAGCAGGGGGCGGACAGCTGACCTGACGCAGACGCAGACGCAGCTACCTGAGGGGACTCAGTGGTCAGTGTGTAAAGGTCCGACCCCGGCTCCCGAGTGAAGGTAGCCAGGTGGCGACCCGTCCGAGCACACGTGCAGTGTGTCACGCGCTCGTAGGCAGGGGTGAACTGGTGAACACCTCCGTCCTGGAGCGCACTACCTGCCACCAGGTTCGTAGAGAACGAGGGGAGGTAGAGACCTGACAGCGTGCCGGACGGGACCGCCGGACAAGGAAGGACAGTGGAGGAGGTCGCAATGACCGGACCCCCAGAGGGGTCAGCAAGGGAGACAGCAACTGGCCGAGCGAGTGGCTCAAGGACAGTGCGGTCACGAAAGAAGGAGCGAGAAGCACCTGAGTCCAGTGTGAAGGTGTGCAGTGCTGCAGTCGACTCAGTACCAGGGGGCACGGACGCACGAGCACCTAGGGCAGCGGCCTCACCAGGACCTGTGGGAGCAGACGCACTAGCACCTAGAGCGGCAGCCGGACTGGCCTGAATGCCCGGGTCGGGCGGAACACGCAAGTACTGAGCACCCTCTCCACTAATAGACATCGCATACATGGCAGTGAGAATAGCATCAAAGTCTAAAGCCCAAATATCAACACCCCTCTTTTCCAGATCAGCCCAGCGCGGCAGCTCAGTGGCAGCAGGAAACTGAGTGCGCCACGCGTCGTTAAGGCGCGCGAAGCAGCGCTGCGTGGGGTGCGGCCTCCCACACTGCTGGCCGCTGCGGTCACCTGTGCGAATGACGTACGTGCAGGTAACGCTACGCTGCGCATACCACTCACGGGCGGCCTGAAGTGTCGGGGCGGGCTGCTGACTCTGCCCTCCGCCAGTGCCTCCACGACCACCACCCCCACCGCCGCCGCCCCGGCCACCTCCACCCCTGCCGCCGCCACGACCACCTCCGCCTCCGCTGCCGCCTCCACCACCACTCCCGCCGCTGCTGTCTCCTCCCCCACTGCCGCCACCAGTCTCCCCAGCCGCGCCTCCACTCGCACCGCCTCCACCCCCACCTCCTCCGCCACCACCCCCACCCCTGCCCCCCTTGTTCCTGCGGCGCCCGCTCGAAGCAGACGCGGTCCCGACCTTCTCAGCACCAAGAAGGTCGACAGCAGCAGCAGAGGCGATAGAGGGGAGGAGGGGGGAAGGGGAACACCCCTCAAAGAACGGGGTGCGGGGGTCGCCACGAGAGGTGCCTACAGCGACGATGCTCGCCTCAGCTGCAAGCAGTTCCTTCTCGAGGAGGGCAACAGTGAGCTCAGTGGGGGAGCGAGAGAGGAAGTGGTCCCTGACTGCGCGCAGAGAGTCAGGGAGGCGGGTGACGATGTGGTAGAGAGTGATCCAGAGCGGGGGGGGTTGCTAGTGAGAAACTCGGCAGGCATAGCAGCGCGAAAGCGGGCCTCACTAGTCTTAAGGTGGGTGATGAGGTCTGCGACAGTGTGAAAGGAGGCTAGGTCAGGGAACAGGTAGGGGAGAGTGAGGCGGCCTAGCGTGGCAGAAGCGGGTGAGGAGTAGCGGGCAACTACAGCGGTGTAGAGGTCCTTAGCAGTCTTGCACTGGCCGAAGTGCTCGCGCTCGTCTAGCGGCAGGGAGTTGCGAATAGCAAAGCGAGCGTGCGCATCACGGGTCTGCCACTGGGAACGCAGAGTGCTGTCAGCAGACGAGTCAGGGGCAGCGGCATGGCCTAGGGCATGGTCGTACAGTGAGATATCTTCCTTGGCAGTGAGCTGTAGGAACAGGTGCAGGTCATCGAGCCAGGTTTCGAACTTCACTGGACGGCCCTCGGCATCGAAAGCTAGAACTGGCGGACTAGCCATAGTGACAGTAGCAGTAGTAGTAGTGTGCGCGGTAGGTAGAAAATAAACAGCAGTGAGATCGAGTGCCTCGCGGGCAGCGGCTGCAGAGGCGCACGGGCAGCAGCGGTGCACGGGGAACGGCAGTGCACGGGCAGCGGTGGCGCTCGGGAGGCAGCGGTGCGCAAGCAGCAGCGGAAGCAGCGGCGTACGAGCGGGCGACGAGCGGCTGCGGGCGGGCGGCCGCTGCGACGGCGGGCTGCGGGCCTGCGGGGCGTGCGCGAGCGGCAGCGGCTGCTGGCCTGCGGCGCACTAGCGGTAGCGGGCGACTCACGGGCGGCGGCTGCAGAGGCGCACGGGCGGCAGCGGCTTATGCGCACGGGCAGCAGCGCCGACAGCGCACGGGCGGCTGCAGCAGCGAGCGGTGCGCAAGCAGCAGCGGCAGCAGCGCACGGGTGGCAGCGGCGTCGGTGCACGGGCGGCAGCGGCGTCGGCGGACGGGCGGCTGCGGGCAACGGGCGTGCGGCAGCTGCGGCGGCGAGCTGCGGGCCTGCGGGGCCACGGCGGGGTGCGCGCGAGCGGGCGACGGGCGGCTGCAGCAGCGGGCGCGTCAGCGAGGCGCACAGGCAGCGCGCGGGCAGCGTGCGGGGCCGCGCGTAAAGAAAAACAGCCGCGCGCGTGCGGCTAGCGGGGCGCGCGCAGCGAAATCGACCGCGCGCGGGCGGGTAGCGGGATACGCGCGCTAAAAAAAAAGAGAAATCGAGTCGCGCGCGGGCGGCTGGCGGGCTGCGCGCGCGCGGTAGGTAGGAGGCGCACGAGGGCGCGTAGGCGCACGAGGCGCACAGTAGGTAGGTAGGTATGTAGGTAACGGTGGGCCCTAAGAACGGTCCTAGCGAAGGACCTGCTCTGAAACCATGTCAGTAATAACGGACTGGAATGACTGTACTAACAGAAGGATGGATACAAATAGGAAACCCTAATCCAGTGTACCCCCTAAGGTATCACCCACTACAGCCTACAATCATATAAACATATAATGTTTGACACTATTATCCTCTGCCGTTGCGTTGGATGGAGTGTCGTGCCAAGTGGGTGTAGCGCAGTTGTACTGATTTAAGAGAGCTAAGCTTACAACTGCGTGTAACTGACACGTAAGCTTTGTATACGAACTCACATTCAGTATGGGTGGGCTTGGCCAGCGGGCGTTGGTAGGCTGTGTTGATGATGGATGTGATGTTTGTAGGAACCCAACGCTCGTTGCGGTCACAACCGCGCTCACATCACACAGAGCGCATGCAACTTGTCAAGATAAACCTGCCGGTGTATGAGCCCTTTGTGAGGGTGTGTGTGTGTGTGTTTTGATTTTTTTTTTCACCGTGACCATTTCAGACTCAACACAAAGTTTGCTCCGTCAGGCAATGCAAGTGTGACCTCATCCCAAACTTGCACCTTAAGGCTGTAGCCGTCATAAGGCAATTGCGAAGCATAACAATAACAACACAACCATTAAACTGGTACCCTACAAATGGCCCCCAAGCCTGAAAAGGGACCCCCAGCCCTCCTCCCCCCTGGGGAGCCCGCTGGCCAGCACAGGACCCACCGGTCCTCCTCCCCCCTAGGGAACTCGCTGGCCAGCACAGGACCCACCGGTCCTCCTCCCCCCTGGGGAGCTCGCTGGCCAGCACAGGACCCACCGGTCCTCCTCCCCCCTGGGGAGCTCGCTGGCCAGCACAGGACCCACCGGTCCTCCCTCCCCCTGGGGAGCGCACTGGCCAGCACAGGACCCACTGGTCCTCCTCCCCCCTGGGGAACTCGCTGGCCGGCACAGGACCCACCGGTCCTCCTCCCCCCTGGGGAGCTCGCTGGCCAGCACAGGACCCACCGGTCCTCCTCCCCCCTGGGGAGCTCGCTGGCCAGCACAGGACCCACCGGTCCTCCTCCCCCCTGGGGAGCTCGCTGGCCAGCACAGGACCCACCGGTCCTCCTCCCCCCTGGGGAGCTCGCTGGCCAGCACAGGACCCACCGGTCCTCCTCCCCCCTGGGGAGCTCGCTGGCCAGCACAGGACCCACCGGTCCTCCTCCCCCCTGGGGAGCTCGCTGGCCAGCACAGGACCCACCGGTCCTTTTCCGGCTGGCACGGGGCCCCCGGTCCACTTCTTTCACGGGAGCACATTGTGCCGAATGTTTGCCGCAGTCTTTCTTGGCCGATGGTCTTTGATGGCGATCCAATGCTATGGTAATTGCCTCGCCCCGATTTACTGCGACAAAAAAACTCAGAAATAGCACGAGAGAAAATGAGACAAATAAAAACCGAACATACAAACGAGGAATAGGAAACATATGCAAAGTACCAGGTTATCCATAGACACAATTTCAGCAACAGAAGCGCATCTGGCGCAACACTGAGTATCTCGCCTTTGTGGCGATTTCGCTGTCATGCCCGCTTGTGCTGACTTCCGCCGGACGCGCCCCTGGATACTTGCGCGCCTCTGGCAATTTCGTAGCCATATGCTCCAGTGGCGATTTTGACCATTTCGGCGCCATAAGCCCCACTGGCGCCGCTGGCGATTTTGACGCCACGTGCGCCACTGGCGATGTCACCACTTGCGCCTGTGGCAATTTCGTCACCAGGCGCGCTGGTGGCGATTTCGTCACCAAGCGCGCCTGTGGCGATTGTGCCGCCCTGCGCGCCAGTGGCGATTTCGTCGCCACCAGCGCCTGTGGCGATGTCGTCGCCACCAGCGCCTGTGGCGATTTCGTCACCACGTGAGCCAGTGGTGCTTCGCCTTATTAGCCCAAAACGTGCGCGCCTGTTGTACGGACGGGTGTACCCGTAAGTCAGTTCTGAAAGCGTATTGTGCTATTTAAGCCGAGCTTGTTGCCTACTATTTCTTGAGAGAAGTAAGAGACTAAAGGAAAAAAAGGGAGCACCAGGTCTTCGGACGAGAATGAAATAAGACATTTGAAATTTCAAACGAAGACGTGGGTGGAGGCCAAATGGCCTCCACTCCTGTTATATAGTTGGCGAAGGGCGTCTAGCACTTCGCCGTTGCCATTGCTGCATTACAAGCAGCTTCGCTTTCAAAATACACATTTTTAGAAAGTGTTACACACTTTCAAAAAACTACATGTTGCGGTAGGGGCAATAACTAGGGTAGGGGTAACTAATGGGAACAGCAGGCTGCGCTGCGCGTGTACGATAGGTGCGAGTTGGCGAGGTGAGAACAAGCGAGGTGAGCGGAAGCGTGTTTTGGGGTGGAAGGTCGCTTTACCGTACGCGTTATTGAGCTCCATCTTGTGGGATCAGCTCACACAACCCTTCGGAATGTACATTCTGCTAAAGCTTGTCTAATCTCCTTACCGGTGTACAATATTGATGAACACTGGTGTACACGGTACGAATCGATTCCTGATTCGTTGGAGTTATCACACATTACCGCTTTGGAACGCAACAAACCAAACTAGTCTGTGCTTCAAGAGTTTCAGCACTCCTTGGTCAGAGGATTGCAATCTTCTTCTCATACACCACATCTCACCACTCAAAACCACTCCTCGCCCACCATCCAATACCATTCACCTCACCACCACCACCCTCCCTCATGAATATTGCCTCCAAATTTGAGTCCCCTCCCCTCCACCTTGGCGTTCTGTTGGCGTCATCACCTCCGCATAAAACCACAGATCAGCGCACTTGTCTTACTCCCTTGTCTGCATTCCAAAGCCCATCGTCGAGCCATCAAGTACCTGCACATCCTGCTCTCTCTGCGACCGACCAAGAATGAAAGCTTGCGACGAGGGACGCAAGGTCCTTTGTCGGTCCGTCTGCTCAATGGACGGCGACAGACTTGACGGTGAGCAGCTTCATCGCGACACGTACGACGGAACCCGTCTCCACAACCGGCAGCTAGACCGTTCCGCACCTATACATTGCTAATTAGCCGCCGCCAATTCCACGTTGAAGAGACTATGCAGAGAGTGACTTTCCCGAGACGGTCCAGATTGGTCCGAATGAGCCGCCCGACGAGAGCAGACTGACCTGATTGGCCATCGATCGGGTCCCGAGTCCCGACGCGAGAGCGAATCGAGATCTCGACTAGAATAGATACGACATCCGAAGTTTCGTGGTCTGTTGTTGCACCATCGCTCAGTGCATCAACCTGTGTGGTGGTTCTGGCCGACGACTGTGCTACTGCGCTCTACCTGTCGCGTAGGCACCGGGACCTACAGCAGTACTGTACAGAAGCACCCGCGCTGCAGGCATGCGGCGACAAACCATGGGCGGTAAGACGAGATGACCTTTGAGTTGACCCAAAAGTCTACCTGTCGCGTAGGCACCCGGAACTACAGTAGCACTGTACAGTAGCACCGCGCTGTAGACATGCGGCGACAAGCAATGGGCGGTAATGCTCCCCGGTGAGCGTTCCTTCCCTCGCTGCCCAAATCCGCTCGGAAATCCCCGCGTTTAGCGATCCCGTGGCGCGGTGCTACGTGGCTCTGCGCGTGGCGTTCGTACTACGCCGCCGCCTGTTCGTGGCGATGCGTCCTTGCTCTTCGTGCTTCAGTCGGCCCTGGCGTTCAAATCCAACCGTCCTTTGCGTCTCAATGCTTCTGATGGCTGGAATTCGTGGAAGCTTCGAGGAACGGGTCCACAAGTGCCAACTAGACGGTCTTTGAGATATAAAATCGACCAGATCTGCGCTCATCAGTCGATCAATCATCGAGCACAGTTCTTCTGGAGTTGATTTCGGAGTCATTTGACCTCCGTTCAAGGCAGACAGAGTCGGTAACGTCACTACCAGTCCCCTTAGCTCCTATCTCCTACAAGCCAACGGTCTGTTCCGGCTCCCCGCTGACCAGACTCTTCCTCTGCATTCCCCGAAAAGCATCACAAAACTCTCACCCAGGAAGCGGTTTGCTCGCCATGGCTGCGACTTCTCGAGCCGCCTCCCACCTCCTCCCGTTCCTCCTCCTCCTCCTCCTCGCTACGTCCGCGTCTGCTGCGCGCCGCCCGCCGCCAACCAAGGCGCAGATCAAGGCGGAGGTTTCGCGGATGGCAAAGCGGCTGCTGCAGCGCTACCCGCAGTATTCCAAGTTCTCAAAGGACTTCAACAAATACGTCAACCTCGCAAGTCAGTTCTGCTCCCTGCCTCTTCCCCCCTGCTCCCTCCTCCCTGCTTCCTCCTCCCTGCCTCATCCTCCCTGCCTCATCCTCCCTGCCTCATCCTCCCTGCCTCATCCTCCCTGCCTCATCCTCCCTGCCTCATCCTCCCTGCCTCATCCTCCCTGCCTCATCCTCCCTGCCTCATCCTCCCTGCCTCATCCTCCCTGCCTCATCCTCCCTGCCTCATCGTCCCTCGCTCATCGTCCCTCGCTCATCGTCCCTCGCTCATCGTCCCTCGCTCATCGTCCCTCGCTCATCGTCCCTCGCTCATCGTCCCTCGCTCATCCTCCCTGCCTCATCCTCCCTCGCTCATCGTCCCTGCCTCATCCTCCCTCGCTCATCGTCCCTCGCTCATCGTCCCTCGCTCATCGTCCCTCGCTCATCGTCCCTCGCTCATCGTCCCTCGCTCATCCTCCCTCGCTCATCGTCCCTCGCTCATCGTCCCTCGCTCATCGTCCCTCGCACATCGTCCCTCGCTCATCGTCCCTCGCTCATCGTCCCTCGCTCATCCTCCCTCGCTCATCGTCCCTCGCTCATCGTCCCTCGCTCATCCTCCCTCGCTCATCCTCCCTCGCTCATCGTCCCTCGCTCATCGTCCCTCGCTCATCGTCCCTCGCTCATCGTCCCTCGCTCATCGTCCCTCGCTCATCGTCCCTCGCTCATCGTCCCTCGCTCATCGTCCCTCGCTCATCGTCCCTCGCTCATCGTCCCTCGCTCATCGTCCCTCGCTCATCGTCCCTCGCTCATCGTCCCTCGCTCATCGTCCCTCGCTCATCGTCCCTCGCTCATCGTCCCTCGCTCATCGTCCCTCGCTCATCGTCCCTCGCTCATCGTCCCTCGCTCATCGTCCCTCGCTCATCGTCCCTCGCTCATCGTCCCTCGCTCATCGTCCCTCGCTCATCGTCCCTCGCTCATCGTCCCTCGCTCATCGTCCCTCGCTCATCGTCCCTCGCTCATCGTCCCTCGCTCATCGTCCCTCGCTCATCGTCCCTCGCTCATCGTCCCTGCATCACTCTCCCTGTTTCATCCTGCACTTGTCGCTCCAGGATGATGGATTTTCTTCCTGCTTTCCCTCCTTTTCTTACCCTTCATGTGCCCTCCAGTCACATTCACCTGCTTGGTTCTTTTGCCGTTCCAGTAAAACCGACTCCCTTGCTCCCTCCCTTCCTTTCCAATCCCAATCACAACCCCTTCCTCGCTCTCTCCCCTCCAGTGAACTCCAAGTACAACTTTTCAGCACTTGCTGATGCCACCCTCCTAATCTTAGTCAACTCAAAATGTCCAACCCCAACCTCAACCCGTTCCCCTTCCCCTTCCCCTTCCCCTTCCCCTTCCCCTTCACCTTTCCCCTTTCCCATTTCCCACTTTCCTCCCCTCCAGTGAACTCCAAGTACAACTTCTCAGCACTTGCTGACGCCACCCTCCTCATTCCCAGCAACACAGCGGCAGAGGCGCTTTCCAAGAGGCTTCCTCTCACGTCCAAGAACATTCCCCGGGCCTACAACATCACAGCCTACCACATCATCGCAAAACGTTTCATCCTGCCCAAGATCAAATCCATGCGGGCAGGCCAGCCGCTGCCGACTCAGCTGCGACAGGCTCTCTACAAGCTGACGGGCAGGAACGGCAGTGTGGTGCTGTTTGGGACGTACCCTAGCACTAGAGCCCGGGGGATTGTAACGACCAGGGTGGTGATTCCGGGCATGTACGTTGGGCCGTACTTCATTGCCCACAGCGTGGACCGCGTGCTGCTGCCTCGAGGCACCCGCGTGTGAAAGGTTATCACCGTGCTGCTGGGTGTGGAAGGGAGGGGGGGCTGGGGTGGCTGCATGGAACAGGGTGGTTATTCCGGGCATGTACATTGGGCCGTTCTTCATTGCCCATGGTGTGGACCGTGTGTTTCTGCGTCAGGGGAGATACTCTGTAGGAGGCCGGATCAGTTGTGTAACTGGGGAAAGTGCTTGCAGGGTGCCAGCTTGAGTAGGGAGCGCTGTACAGACATTGTTCGTAATGATATAGCATTTGGGGCTTGAGTAATAGTGGTTTCAGCAACAAATAGGGTCCTGTGATTATCAAAGCTCACATCCATTGAATCAAATGATGCACATTTCGTTGGTAGACTAAACTAATAGACTGATCAAGCTCTATAGCGAAGCAGAGACAAGTACGGTATCGGTACCACCTACAACGTCTACACGCACAATCACGACAGCGATAAAATCTCAATGAATTAGAAAGACCTAGTCCTAGGTAAAAATAGCTAAATGCGGTAGTTTCCATCTGCTCTCTACTCTGACTGCTGCCACTACACACTAGGGAATGGAACTAAACAATGCCTAGCTGCACGACCATCACACGGTGAGCACGTGGAAGAGGAGGCAGCGGCGGGGCTCAGGGAACTGCTTGTTACCATCGCCCTGGTTGAGGTTGATGACGTCACCATTGGGTGCCTTGAGCTGCACGCTGGTGAGCGGCAGGCGCACACAGCACCCCTTGAAGGCCGACGCTGGCAGGTTCTTCTGAAACGTGCGCGCATACACCTTGGCCGGCTGTGGGGGAAGGGGAGGGGGAGGGGGGAGGGGAGGGGTTGGATGTGGGAGGGAAGTGGGTGGGGAGGGGCTTTTGGGGAGAGCATTTCAGAATGCCTTGAGGGCACATTCCTGTTGTGTGTTAAAAACAGAAAATCAGATCGTGTTGCTGACGTGACTTGTTAGAAATTGTTATGGCAGGAAGTAGAGGTTGGCAGGGGAGATGGACGGATGGCGAAAGCAGATACATGAGCACGGGGTATCGGGGAGGGGGTGTCTGCGAAGTAAAGGGAGGCGGGATTCGTAACGGAGCAGTGGTGGTGGGAAGGAGGGAGAATTATGGATGGGGGAGGGGGGGAAAGGGGACGAGGTAAAAGGGTTTGCATGAGAGCAAGTGAGGGGGAGGTGGTGATGGTGTGGGATTGAATTTGGAGAGAAGAGGGGTGAGGGGTGAGGGGTGGAGAAGAGAGACGACTCACCTGTCCAGTCGCATAGAACTGATCGCCAGCATGCGCCACAGTTTTCGCCAGCTTCGCCGCCTCGCACTTGCAGTACTTCGCCGGGCCCGTTGCGTCAATCTCCACCTGGTAACCACCCTTCTTCGCCTTCTTGTCGCCAAGGATTTCGCCAGCGTCAGGCGAAACGCCGGTGGCGATGGCGAGGCTCACGGGACGGTCGCCGTTCTGCTGGGAGAGGACGAGCGCGCCGCCGGAGACGACGGGGAAGCGAAGCGAGGGCAGCCCGAGCGGACCAAGCAGATCGAAGTAAAAATCGCAGGCGGGGAGAGGGCCGAAATCAAGGCAGATTTTCGAAGCGTCGTCGAATAGGAGCCCGCCAGGAGCTTGCGCGATGGTGCTGGCCAACGTGGCGGCTGCTGATTGGACGGCGCCGGCCATGGCTCCTGCTGCTGCGCCCAGGGCTGCAGCGGGGTCGAATAGGGGGATTTGCAGGAGAGCGCGACGCGGTCCTTCACGGTGAAAAGCAGTGGAGGACAGCTATGAGGATGCTTGTAACGCGGATAGCCATGTTTCTAAGAAGGTCGGAGAGTGTTGGGCTGCTAGATGAAAGAAGGATCTTTTAGGTGCTGTATGGAACGGGATGATATTAAGCGTTTGGCAGGAGGTGTTAAATAGTTGGCGCAACGGCGAGTCGCGTTGCCTTGACTGAGCTGGCACAGCAGCTGCTTCAGGTAGAGCGGCATGCATGCGTGCCCCTTCCATTCGGCGACGTCGCGAATACTCAATCCAGCGCGACGCAGAATCGAGTCGCACGAGGTGGCGGACGTCTCCGTCTTTCGAGTCAAAGTGGCGAACCGACGCGCGAGCGCCCCCAAACCTAGTCGAGACTCGAGTGTCGAAAATGGGGCTGCTTGTGTGAGAAATTTTATTAGGATGACGGGGTGACAGGCCTTTCAGGAACTTCGGGGACTCCAATCGCGAGGGAGCTGGGGCTATCGGGGATCCTGGCGTGGGGAAAGAATGGGGAAGAGTGGGGAATCTCCGCGATTTGGGAAAACATGGGCCAAAAAAAAAGGGTAGGGGGAGGGATCTAGAAAGGGTCTGGGTTGGACATTCTGGCGGCACACCCGTCATTTGGGGGAGTGGAAGGATGCGCACTTGCAATCTTGACCGTTGATAAATTCATTTCTGACAGCTGACTGTCCGATGACAGCATAAGTGCAAATAGACCAGCTCGATTTCAAAGGTGAGCACGATCGACGTCGCGTGACATGTTCGCATGCAATTTGACAGAATACACAAGGTGATGTACATTATGTAAATATCCATCCATGGCCAATAATTATAAGCTGAAAATGCCCATTAAAAAGTCTACGCATTGCACGAAAGCAACGATCATGGCAGAAAGTGGCTTCAACAGAAAATTATTATCACTGATAAATATTTGCCTGCTTTTTGGGGCTCTTTGGGTTACGTATCATATAAATTTCAAAGCATACAGTCATAACATTCTATGTCTGCTACGTAAGCAATGATAAACAGCTCGATAGTGTAACTTTTTGTTTGCTTGATCATCAATCCCTCGAACCGATCTGAAAACCAGATGTGTCAGGCAAAAGTTTTGCAATTGGTCTATTGATGACTCAGCTGACGGCGAAAAACAGTCAGACTCCCAGTTGTGCTTGGCGCGCTAAGCCCAATATCTAATTATCCTCTGCGGGATGGCGTGGCACTCCGTGATCAGGGCTGGCTCATTCATCGCCGAAGACGGCTGGGAGCGCCAGGCGCGCATCAAGCCTTGGGGGTTGCTGATGTGGTTCCAGCCAGGCCTGTCGATTCAAGGGCATATGCCCTTAATGCCCTGAACATTAAGGGCTAGTTTCGCTCCAGCTCCAATGCGTCAAGTTTTAGATTCGCACTCCACCCTTGCCACTAAGTGCTTCGTTCGACCCTTCCCCGGATGCGTTAAGGGACGAAACCAGGCCTTCCCCTTTATCTAAGTTTTGGTTTCCGAACGTATGATCCCCCCCCCCCCCCCAGGCTGCCAGAGACACCCCCCCCCCCCCACCCTCTTTCTCCTTAGCCTGCACGAGAGCGCGCCAAGTGGATTTTTCCCTTAGCGTTTTCTAGCCAATCTCGTGTGTGTAGAGTATCTCAGTCAGCCTTGGAGCACCCGAACATTCCCTTAGGACGCAGTGCAGATCGGCCCGATCTGAGTGCGATTGCGTCAGATTGGGGCATCGACCATTTCCGAGAAGCCGCAAGGGGTATTTTGAGGCAATCGCATGCAATCGGGGGCAATCTGTCGATTGCAATCGGCAATTCGATCAACTGCAATCGATCATCCCGATCTGACGCAATCTCTTGCGATCGATTGCAATCGACAGATTGCGTCAGATCGTGGTGCATGGCGACGGTTGCGAACGGTAACCTACCCTGACGAAGTTCGAAACTGCTCGCAGCACCATCGGATATCGTGATATTGCAGCATTGAAGATTCGGGACCAAAAAGAGGCTACATTGTAATTGCGAGATACAGATTTTTCGCGAGGTGTCGCCAACTTTGCAAGGAAGGAACGGGTGAATAGCCTAGAGCCGGCGCGGCTGATTCTCACTTACTTCCCCGAAATTCATTGTCTGATCGCGCGGCTCGAGACGCAATCGACAGATTGCCTCAGATCGGGGCAATCTCACCCAATCAGATCCAACCCGACCCGATCGTCCGATCTGATGCGATCATCTCCCGATCTGCATCGCGTCCTTAGCGTCCAATACATGCCCGGATTTCAAGTTTTCACTTTTGGGTTTGCCCGTGACCGTTAAGGGCGCCAAAACGCTCACCTACACCCAACCAAGGGTCAGATGGGGAGGAGCTGGGGAGTGCAAGTATGACAGGCCTGGTTCCAGCCCAGTGGCGTGCCCGCGTACGGTACCGTGTTGTGCCGCCGACTCTTCACTTGTTAGTTGGGTTTTCTGTGGGAGACGTGCTTCCCTACCTACCCAACCCCGCAACAAGTGGTGGATAGACGTGGTCCGAGCAAACTTCAACAACTGAGAACGCAGCGCATCACCTCAGAATTTGTGAGCAGAGCAGAGCTCTCGTCGATCAACCAGATACTCCCGAGACGGATTCACACGATTCCACAGCATTCGACCCACTTCCAAGGTCCTGGTTTTCAGTTTTCCTGGATTTCCGTTTTCCCCTCCATCCATTTTCAAGGTCCACGTCGCTCACTTCAACTTCGATTGATCTGACAGCTATTCTGTATCTCCTCTGCATATAAAAACTGGGTCTTATCACCGGATAATCATCGCTTAATTGCACACTGAATCCGTCACGATGAAGTCGTCCTGGATCAAGGCCAGAGCTGCTCTCTTGCCTCTAAGAACTGGTCTTCACCGTTGGAACAGCAACGCATCTTTGATCATGCCGCCTCACAACACGGCCGTTCGACTTTGCTCGTCCCATCGCCCAGTCCTCAGACCAGAATCATCGTCTTGTGCACTCTCACTCGCATCGTCGCACACCTCGTCGCACAGCCCTCCGTGCCGCTTATCTTGCGATGCGTCGACGAGATCCTTATCCGCCAACCGTCCAACCCTCTGCACGCGACAGCCCGTCGCACGGACCCGATCGTCGCACGCGGTCTCGCGAGCAGGCCGCCTCGCAGCTACTCTCACCACCTCCTTCCTCCATCCCGCCAGCGCAGGCGTCGCGGTCCCCCCCCTCACTTGCCGACCACCCAAACGGCAACTGACCGTTGCCAGCGGCGCCGCCAGCGCGGGACAACCAGGCGTACCTCAGCAGCCACACCGAGCATCAACGGAAACGTCTCTCGCGTCGGGCAACGGCAGCGTTTCGCATTTTTCCACATCGATCCACGAGGAAGTGGAGGGAAGCATTTGGCAGGGAGGGAAGACGCTGCGCGGGGCTGTCGATGTGGAGGAGGAAGTGGTGGTGGCGGGGGACGGTGCGGCGGCGGGCAGGGTGCAGCAGGGCTACGCGCAGCTGGAACCCACCCCCATGGTGCAGGAGGCGTGGGACCTCCTCAACGCCTCCGTCGTCCATTATTACAACCAACCCGTACGCGCCTCCGCTCCCTTCCCCTCCTCGCCTCCTCTCTCACCTCCGTAACTCTTCTTCCCTCTCCCCTTCCTCTTTCCTTTTCTCTTCCCTCTCCTTTCTCCCGTTGCCCTCTTCCGTCATTCGCCGACTCTTCCGTCATCACCACGTGGGCACAGTAACGGCAGTGGATCCCACGTCAACAGCAGCGCTCAACTGCGATCAGGTTTCCATCCCACAACTCTCTCCTCTCTCGCATCTCCCACCCTCCTCGCCCCATCCCACTACCAGGTGGGAACAGTAGCAGCGGCGGATCCCACATCAACGGCGGCGCTCAACTACGACCAGGTGTTCATCCGCGACTTCATCCCCTCCGCGCTCGCCTTCATGCTGTCGGGCCACCACGAGATCGTTCGCAACTTCCTCCTCTACACGCTGCAGCTACAGGTCCGTTTAGCCCATCCAAACATTGCCGAATCCTTCTTTTCTTCTCTTCAAACTCCACGTCACAATCATCCCCACTGGCATTCCCCATCCTCGCCCATGTTTCACACTCGCCGCTCGCGTCCCCTAACACTGCTATTGCGTTACTAGACTTTCTTAAACGATTCTGTGTTTTACTGGCAGTGCCCATGCGTTTCGAGAATGCTCACAACAATTATGCCTTTTCCCTGCACTGCCCATGCTCCCACCAGAGCTGGGAAAAGACAGTGGACGCGCACAGGCCAGGCGAGGGGCTCATGCCGGCCAGCTTCAAGGTCACGCAGACTCCCATGGAGGGCAGCGCTGGGGGCGGGGTGGCCTACGAGGAGCACCTGGACCCTGACTTCGGGGAATCCGCCATTGGCCGCGTGGCTCCTGTTGACTCTGGTGGGTGCCTGGGGCTGTGGTAACCATTGGAATGTGGTTACACCTGTTTCTCCCCCCCTCTCCCATCCATGTGTCTTCTGGGCTCCTACTTGTCCTGCGCTCCCGCCCTCCGCCCTCTAATCACATCTCCATCTTGAGCTCGTTTTTCTGCATCCGTCATTTCGTAACCCCCGCCACTCCCCCCATTTCTTCCTCCACCCGTCTCCCCACCTTTCCCCCCAGGCCTGTGGTGGATTCAGCTACTGCAAGCATACGGGCGGTGCACGGGTGACGTATCGTTGCAGCATCGGGTGGACGTGCAGACGGGCATCAAGCTCATTCTCAAGGTCTGCCTGGCGGATCACTTCGACATGTTCCCCACGCTCATCACCACCGATGGCTCCTGCATGATCGACCGGCGGCTTGGTATACATGGCCACCCGCTGGAGATCCAGGTGAGCCGCTCAGTAGACGCACAAGGTGAGTGCGGGCCATTCCCGCGAGGTCTAAGTGAGCCCTGTGCTCCGTATATGAGGTGGTTCATGAGGTGGAAAGGTGTGCCTGGCGGACCATTTCGACATGTTCCCCACGCTATCACCACTGCTGGCTCCTGCATGATTGACAGGCGATTGGACATCCACGGCTATACTCTTGAGATTCAGGTGAGCTCCTCAGTAGGCATAGAGGGTGAGTGTGAGCTGGATGCTCCATATGATAAAGTTGCGGATAAGGCGATAAGGTCTGCCTGGCGGATCCCTTTGACATGTTCCCCACGCTCATCACCACCGACGGCTCCTGCATGATTGACAGGCGCCTGGGCATTCACAGCCATCTGCTGGGAATGCAGGTGAAGCCCCTCAGCAATGACTTGGCTGCTCATCACATTGCCACATTCCCCTGCACTTGCACGCTTGCATGCTGCTCACCGCCCCGGCGTCCCTCAACACCCCTTCCACTGCCTCCTAAGCCCAGACTTCCATTCAATTCACATTCCCATGCACTCCAATTGCTGATTTATGGCGCCGGCAGCCGCGACCTCATCCGTGCTCTGCTCAGTGCTTACCCGCTTTGCTACAACCATGCCTCGCCTACGCCTTCTGTACTCAACACCCCTCCCATCACCTGCGAAATCAACCCCCTTTCTCTCCCCTCCATCCCGGTCTCTCCTATATGGCGCCCTGAGAGCAGCGCGGGACATGCTCATTCCAGAGGGGGACAGCATCGACCTCATCCGCGCATGCTCAGTGCTCTCAAGCTTTGCCACCACCACGACCACAGCTCAGTGCCTCTTCTACTGCATTTGACCCCCTCTCCCCTTCCCGCCATGCAGTCTCTCGTATACGGCGCCCTGAGGGCAGCGCGAGACATGCTCATCCCGGAGGGCGACAGCATCGACCTCATGCACACCCTGCCAATGCTCACCCTGCGAACCCAACCCTCTCCCCCACCCCAATCCCCTGCAGTCTCTCCTATACGGCGCCCTGAGGGCAGCGCGAGACATGCTCATCCCGGAGGACGACAGCATCGACCTCATGCACACCCTGCCAATGCACACCCTGCCAATGCTCACCCTGCGAACCCAACCCTCTCCCCCACCCCAATCCCCTGCAGTCTCTCCTATACGGCGCCCTGAGGGCAGCGCGAGACATGCTCATCCCGGAGGACGACAGCATCGACCTCATGCACACCCTGCCAATGCTCACCCTGCGAACCCAACCCTCTCCCCCACCCCAATCCCCTGCAGTCTCTCCTATACGGCGCCCTGAGGGCAGCGCGAGACATGCTCATCCCGGAGGGCGACAGCATCGACCTCATCAGAGCAGTGAACGCGCGGCTCACGGCCCTGGCCTTCCACATCCGCCGCTACTACTGGCTCGACCTGCCCGCGCTCAACACCGTCTACCGCTTCAAAACCGAAGAATACTCCCACGACGCCGTCAACAAGTTCAACATCTACCCGGATCAGATCCCCCCGTGGCTCATGGACTGGATTCCGGACCGCGGCGGGTACTTTGTGGGGAATGTGCAGCCGGCGCATATGGATTTCCGGTGGTTTGCGCTGGGGAATCTGTGGGCGATTGTGAGTAGCCTGGCGTCGCACCAGCAGGCGGAGGCGATTTTGGATCTGGTGGAGGAGAAGTGGGACGACCTGGTGGGCGGCATGCCCATGAAGATCTGCTTCCCTGCGCTGGAGAATGGCGAGTGGCGGATTATTACTGGCGCGGACCCCAAGAACACGTGAGTCAACGGGGGATGGGGAGGGGTGGGAAGTGTGATGGGGGGTTAGGGAAGTGGGAGGAGCTGGTGGGCGGCATGCGGATGGGCATTTGTTTTCCTGCGCTAGAGAACGGCGAGTGGCGCATTATCACTGGCTACCATGCGGACGGATCGGCGCTTGCAGTGTTTGGGGCATACTTGCTGTGCCATGCCACAACGGTGTGCCGCGGATCCCCTTGCTGCATGGTTGTGTGTGCCTGTGTCATTCTCTCCATTCCCTTCCCAACAAACCCGCCTGCCCCTTCATCTGAACCCCTCCCCACTTCTACAGAGCATGGTCATACCACAACGGGGGGTCATGGCCGGTGCTGCTATGGCCGTTCACAGCAGCGTGCATCAAGATGCCCCCCCCTTTGAGACGCCCCAATAATTTCCCTCTCCTTCCCCCTTCTCCTACAGAGCATGGTCGTACCACAATGGAGGCTCATGGCCGGTGCTGCTGTGGCCGCTGACAGCAGCGTGCATCAAGATGGGTCGCCCCCACCTGGCACAGCGCGCTGTGGAAGTGGCTGAGAGGCGCCTGCAGGCCGACCGCTGGCCCGAATACTATGACACCAGGTACTGTGCGGTGAGGTGCAGTGCGGTGACACAAGGTACTGTGTGGTGAGACGTGGTGCTGAAAGGTGACACGAGGTGCTGTGCAGTGACATGAGATGCTCTGTTGTGTCACGGCACTGTGATGTGACACACTGTGCTGCACAGTATATGGATCAAAGCCTACTTTCCAACAGCATAAGGTATTTTGTCATCCAATACAACACTTGTGTGACATCTAAACGCTCACCCATCCATATCCACCCACCTGTATTTACCCATCCTCAACCCCAATGGGTCCATGCAGGAGAGGGCGGTTCATAGGCAAGCAGGCGAGGCTGCACCAGACGTGGAGCATAGCGGGGTACCTCACAGCCAAGCTGCTGCTCGCCAACCCCCACGCCGTTTCCCTCATAGCAGCAGATGAGGACTGCGACATCATCAATGCTTCCACCACCCTCCTCGCCTCCAACCCCCGCCGCCGCCGCCACCGCCCCAACCCACTGCCCTCGCCACTCTTCTGAAGCGGGTTTCTTGGAGAGTGGCGCTGTATGTATGGAAAGCGTTCCATCTCCCTCATAGCAGCGGAAGAGGTCTGCCACATCATCAACTCCACCACCTTCCTCGCCTTCAACCCCCACCGCCGCCACCACCCCAACCCGCTGCCCTCGCCGCTCTTCTAAAGAGGGTTCCTTGGAGTGTGGCGCTGTTTCTTATGGAAGGCACGCCGTCTCGCTCATAGCAGCCGATGAGGGCTGTGACATCATCAACGCCTCTACCACTTTCCTCGCCTCCAACCCCACCGCTTCCACCGCCCCAACCCACTACCCTCTCTGCTCTTCTGAAGCATTTTGAGGCGCCTCAAAGGTCGCTTCCCTTGCTGCTCTTCTGGAGAGGTTTTCTTGGGGGTGTGGCGCACTGTACTTATGGAAAGTACCGTAGTTGCGGGATTGTACAGTTGGCATTTTTCCAAGCATCTGCACCACGGTTTTGGACAGTTGTGCTTATATTCCTTTTATTGTTCTCGTGTTACGTGGCGTGCTTCTGTCCAGCCCTCTAGCCAATGCATGTGCTGGGTGAAACATGTGATGTTGCTCTTGTCTTTGTTCTGAAATACTTGTGCGAATGGAACCTCCTACGGTATTGATGCTAATTGTTGAGAACGCAATTCAGGGCCTAGAACATTCATGGACCATATTCGACGGTCCATGCTTTCAGTGGTAGTTTGTGAGCAATGAATGTGAAAGCTCACTTCTTGAAACACAGGGGCTAACTCATAGACTCAGTTGAGATTCTAGCTGCCATTTCTTCCTACGACAAACTCACAACTAGTCTGCCAGATCCTGACTGCCAAGTCCAATGAATACAGAGCAAAAGTTTCCTTACTCTTGTTATGGAAGAACAGAGAGAATTCTTGCTTTACTTTAGGCAACTTGATAAACACATAATGATAGATTATGATACAAGCCTACACAATCTGCATAACACTCCAGTGAAAACAGCTGGAGATACATACCATATACTGGAACTACGATATCCTATGTGGATAAGCAGAGGGTAACAAAAAGGCGTGAGACCACTTCACTTCCAATTCTCAAGGCCTCTTGGAGGCCTTGCCACTGCTGACTTGCTCGGGCTGGCTGAATCCCAGCCCATTCAGACTCCCTTTCTCCCCCAGTATCATGCGTTGCATCCTCAACAAGAATGATCACAGCAGCACATCCGCTTCCTCCCTTCTCCACGATCTCACTGCCACCACCCTCCTGCTGCTGCCAGGTTTCGGAATCAGAGATGGCAGCAGCCTTGCTTTAGCTCCTCCAATCCTCGTCTCTGGCTTCTTGACTCCAGTTGATCCCCACATCCGTGCAATCATTCTCGCCAGTGTAGCCATGGCTTCCGAGCTCAACACAGTGCTGCTCGCAGCACTGCTGTTTGCCATGCTGCTGCAGTCGCCTGGAGCATCCTCACAGCACATGGTGTCACTCACGCTGGTAGCTGTAGTCCTCAACTGGGTCCGAGTGTTGGTGCAGCTGCTGTCACCAACACTGTGAATTTCTTCAGCGTCGCTGCAGACAACTTCAGTGATGGCATCAAGGCACCTGCTTTCTTCGATGGAGTCATTGCAGCTCACGTCACTGACGTCACTACAGCTAACGTCACTGATGTCACTGCAGCCAACGTCGCTGACGTCACTGTAGCTAATGTCATTGGTGCTGGTTGAGCTGAGAGGGACCATGGAGTTGATCTCCAAGGTGGGTGTGCAGGTAACGTCACTGCAGGTGCTGCTCTGCTCAGATTCGTCCTGCACGTCAGCAGGCGATCTTGAGGAGGTCAGCTGCACATGCACTGGCGTCCGCCTGCTTCCACTCTGGAGCTTCCAGAAGGCAAGAGCTTCAGAATACGAAGGATAGTCGGAAACAGCCATCGGAGACTGCTGGAATATAGTGGTGAGGAAAACTAGCAGAAAGTTCTGAGTACAGAGTTGAGCTGGAGCGATCACGAAAGTTGAAGCTGTCAGAACAGGATAGCTGAAGAGGGCTTGAACAAACTGAACCAACTGAAGAACTGAAAATGGATGTGCTGGGTTTGTGCTTTTCTATGTGAGGGTGGAGGAAGAAGGCATGGGAAGGGAGGTGTGTGGGAAGATGTGTTCGGGCAGAATAAGGGTTTGTGAAATTCTTCCTGAGCGGCTCCGACATTGTGCAATCTACGCTGGCCATGCTGTCCGACGACGTTCCAAGTGAATCCGTTGGTGAAACGACTTCTGCGGAGGCTGGGCTTCGGGTTTGCGATCCGGGAACCATCTCTTTCGCGGCAAACAAGAAAAATTTCCCCACCCTCTGGTTTCCTGCCCACCCCACTTCCCTGAGACAGCGGGGCTGCCCGGGACAGATTACACGGTTTGCTGAGCACAAGCGGGAACGACTCCACCTCAAATGTCGAAAACTTTGTACCTACCCGAAATGTGTGGGGAGGTGACATGCCAGAGCCAGCGAGAAAAACTCGCAGAGGCGGAAACTCGCCACCCCCAGCTTCATTGTCTCCTCCGTCCGCTGCGACAGCGCGGCTGCCTGGGACAAATCATGCGAATTCGATGAGCACAAACTGGAAAGGTTTCTCCTCAAATCTCCAAGGTCAAATCTGATCCGAAATGCATGGGAATGGTAAACATGACATGCCGAGCCAATGAGACAAAGCTGACAAAGCTGACAAAGCTGGTAACCCTGTAAGGATCTACTGTATGTAGTCCGCCCACATTGCATCAGTCCCTTCATGACTGTTCACATTGAACCGAACATGTTGAGTTCGACAACAAAGGGTTTTTGGTTGTGTTTGTTTTTGTAGAAAACGAATTGGTGAATTTTAACGCATCATGAGAAGAAGAACATATATGTGTGGCTGAACTCTTGAGGTTGCAGCACTCCAAAACTGAGGCCAGGGTTAGCCAACCTTGCAAAGCTAGCAAGTAGCCTCATGTTGCACATACGGGCCAGGCTGGAACAACTCCTCACGTGGCAGCATATGGCACACCATCAGAGCCAGCAAGGCGAGCATGGGATGAATGGCATGTGGCAATGCCAATTGTGACCAAAATTCATTGTGATGAGTGTGGTGGAGTATGGACATGTCATGGTTAGCATGGCATGGGGAGGGAGGGTGGGGAGGCAGAAGAGAGCAATAAGCGCAGAGTAACCACATACAACCACACACAAGCGTAGAGACACGAGGGAACGCATGCCATGATCTGCATCTGCCAGTGCCATGGATACCTGATTGCTACCTGATCGCTACCTGATTGCCCCCATGCGAACTGCAACGGATCACCTGCGTGCTGCTGTTGCGGTTGGGCGTGGCGAAGGGCGCCATTCTGACGAAGGGCGATCGCACTTGCTGCGCCCCCCCCCCATTGCTCCGCCTTGCGACTCTCCCTCGGCCCGAACCTGGAGGGGAGAGGAGGGGAGAGGAGGGGAGAGGAGGGGAGAGGAGGGGAGAGGAGGGGAGAGGAGGGGAGAGGAGGGGAGAGGAGGGGAGAGGAGGGGAGAGGAGGGGAGAGGAGGGGAGAGGAGGGGAGAGGAGGGGAGAGGAGGGGAGAGGAGGGGAGAGGAGGG